TTCATCTGCTGATCTTCTGTCAGGATTAAGGAACCGCATGTGTCATCTGATGACTTCATATGTCGCTCAAACATCATGCTGCCATCCAAAAGAGAATCCTTGCAAGATAACTTTCTTTTTGCTTCGGTGAATACATCAGAAAGGCCATTTTCGTACTGGAAACCATCACAAAGACTTCTTAGTACAGTTTCAGGGGGAGGTTTGCTGATGTCTGGAGAGGTTATATACTCTTGCAATCCTGATCTTTCAAGCTCTTCCTTCATTAAAGTCCAAACAATTTTCAGGTCAGCAAAAAAACGTAGAAAGTATGTAGCATGCAAAATAACATGAAACTGACCTCCCAGATTGGTATAAGTGACTGAACCATTTTCAAATCAGGACTAGTCTGAGAGAACGATGAATAGATCTTAGCACTTTGGTTCAAAATGTCTGCATGTTAAAACCATTAAAAAGTTTAGCAACAGCATCAAATTGCAAATATGCACATCGTGAATTTTACCAGTATGCACTAGATACAGACCATCTATGCTAGAATCACCCTCAAGTTCACAAATACTCTGCCTTTTTACGCAGCTCTTATCGTTTAAAAAATCTTCATCACTAGTGGTCCAAGTCCATGTACCAGGGACAGTAGAAGACAGCCAAAAAGCTGTATTTCCAATTGTTTCATCCCTTGAACCTGCCTAAGAACATTTAATTACATTACATTGAACACGACATACTAGAGAAGTTCATCCAATTAATAATAACTATCTTTTGACTGAGCAAGCCAACCTGAAAACTTACAGAAACTGAGCTGGCCTTCTTCAACGCAGAGTCTGTCTGCATGGTATTAGGAGCTGCTCTGGGCATAAATTTATCAGGTAATGGGTGGCGAAATTTAATGTGCGATGTATGTAGGTGGCCCATTCCATGCAAGTTGCAATCAACCTACATGTGAAATGTCTGCATTATAACCGATATTCAGAAATAGCAAGATTTCATTTTGGCAAAAAGAAAATATGAATGCGCAAGGCAATATTTACCTGTAATAACCAAGTGAAAGACCAACATTATAAAATGAATGTCACATCATGATGTTTAGTGGAATCTCTTCATGTTCCAAAATGTTTCACGACAATGGCAACAACCAGCAAACATAATGTGCCCCCAAAGAGTAAGATGACCCCCCACTGACATAGAATTCCTAGATAAAGCGCAATAAACATCGAACAAGTCGCCATACTCCCCTCGCTAGGCTGCACAACAAAGGGCTTCCCTCAACAGATGTAGGATCCTAGATGCTCCTCATCTCATAAATATATATCTCAATCCTAAGGAAGATGACGAATTGCAGTCCTATGCTACATCATGATGGCCGACAGAATCTTTGGTAAAATATGTTCCTAAATTTATGAATGTTCTATGGTATCTAAAAACAATTGGATTGAGCAATATGAGCATTTTTCTTTCCTCTACTGTCCAGAAAACCACTCTTTGGAAAAATTCACTCCCCCAGCACTAAAAATATTTAAGAATCAGGTGGATAACCATCATGCGCCCTTTGTTTCTCAAACATCAATAAAAAGCACTGATGTCGTCATTGGAGGACTTAAAAAATAATCTCAGTTTGATGACCTATAAAAACTTCAAGCATATCTTGTAGGTTAGAAGAACCATTACTCCACCAAGAAGGAGCAATTGAACTCATTTCTGGCAGTCGAGATAAAGTCACCTAGTACACAAACTGATCACCAGAATGCAGCGAACTAATTTCTTCACATATAAACTCAATACCTCCCTAAAAAAAATACAGTGAGGTATGCATTCGTTTAATGCAAATTTCAATAGCATTGTGACGACCTGAATCAGTCCTCTGTGATTGTGAAACTTTCCGACCAAAGTTGACACAATAATAACCAAATCCTTGATGATGTTTCTACCACAGGTACCTTTCACATTTAATATCAGAAGTAATATTTTCTCATCTAAGTAAAGAAAAAAAATTGGAATGAAAATAATGCAGACTAGCACATTTATTTACGGCATAATCCATCAGTTATTGAAAATGGTACTGACAATTAGCATCGTGACAATATAAAAAAACACTTACCATAAATTGGAGAAGAAAAGGAATGTGAGACTCATATGGCTGGATGCTTCTATTCAAAACAGAACCACCCTGCCAAAAAACAATATAGATATCAAATCTGTAAAAGGTCTGAGATTTTTCTCTCTTCTCCTCAAGAAACTTAATAAAAAGCCAACTTATCCAAGAAAATGAGTGTACATGTATGAAGGAGAAAACAGAGACAGCACACACAGATGTGCAGTGATGTAATTGGGAATACATATCAGTAAAGAAGATTTTACGTTTTCCCCCAGAAAATTTAAATGAACAACGTAATCGGAAAATAACCACAATGGTTAAACAAGAAACATTATTGATGACCAAATGAATAAAAACCACATATATTGGCATGAATTTTATCACATGAAAGGGAGTTCTCCAAAAAATATACATAGAGCACTACCCATAACTCAGCTAATGATCATGGAAAATTATTGCATCATACATGCTCTTAGTATATGCATAGACTTGTGAATGACACTCTCATACAACTCTTGTACGTATCTAAGAATGTTATAACCCATTATACAACATCTTCATTCCAAGTCTTCAGAAAGGTAACCTCACAGATCAATCTCTAATAGGCTCCTTCAAAACAAATAAACACCATATATGAGTTCCTGCTCTTCTCCTAAAACCTCTAAATCCAGCATCTTAAGAGAAACATAGCTTCTATGTCACGCATAGAAGTATAAAACCAAAATGCTTGTCGATAACTGTGGCATGTCAGCTTGTTCGACCTTCATCAATTTTGTCCACCAGTTATAGAGCAACTTGAAAGCTTGATCTTCTCAAAGCATAACCTTAAAATTCTTAGCCCATGACCTAAATATCTGCAACTAAAACTTTTGAAAGTGATGAAGTCATTCCTTTGAAACCACATATTTAGACAATCAGGAGATAAAGGGTAAGTTTTTAGGGTCCCTTGGATCAGATTCCTTTGAAACCACATATTTACATATTGTCCCTTGGATCAGATTACCTTATTTCCCTACTACTACTCACCTTCGTCGTAATCTACTAAAGGGTAAGTTTGCTGACAGTATTTGAAAGAGCTCGAGCAAGCACTACCTTTATTTTAATAAAGCGAACTCGAATTTTAGATTCTGAGAATCTCCATCCCAATAGTGGGCAATAGATCAGCAGCATACCCCAGCTTTGGACTCAATATTACTTTTGACTTTTCCCCTATCAACATGGAATACTAATCTTCAACTCTCCAACGTTTAGGCAATCGAGTATACTCGACTGATAGAGTTCTTTTATTCCAAATGACTAAGCCAATAATATTTATCACGCCATTCAATAGATTCTTTCATACAATTGGCCCCAGAAAAACTGTGTACGATATGCATCCCACAAACACATCATAAGAAAACTTAGTAAATTAACGAGGGACTACCATAAACAATATTTCAATTCTGATTCACGCAAGATAGAAGATATTATTCTTCATCTCCCACATTGTCGGTCATGAATTGTACTCGGAAGTGAGACCAAAAAAACTATTCCGGTTTATCATTCTAGTTTTCATCCATGGATATCATAGGCATTCATACATCGATGTCTTTTTTCAATGCCAAAGGACCTCAAACAACAGTTAGCTATCGACCCTAGAGCTCTTATCAGATGAGACTACAACCCCAAAATATATTTTGACAAATACTATGACGGGTGTGAGTTTGGAATACAAGAAACTTAAAAAATCTTGACCGTTCCCTATTGAACTCAACATGACTTCTATGTCACACTCTCTCTTTCTTCCCGTCATTGGAATTTAGAGTTATTGAGATATTTGGTAAACACCAAGTTAGGTTGCAAATGTGGGACTTTATTCTTTTCCCAGGGGGAGAGTACCAAGAAATGGCACCTTTCGTGTGCAGCAGACTCCTTAGTCAAGGATGAAAGTTTTTAAAAAGAAAGATCATACACAAAGATATGAAAAAAACAAAGAGGGGAGGGGAAAATTTAGGCAGTATAACTTCTCCTTACACAATGAGATGGAGAAGGTAGAAGCCAATTTTCGTCCTAGAGCAAGTGTTCCTCATTGTTGATGAAAGGCTGTATTCTTTTCTTGGAAAAGAAAGAAATACAAAAGCTCTCCCAAGAAAGATTTTACAAAACTAAAATTTAAAAGAGGAAGATCTCCAAATAAAATCGATAGGAATGGCATAGAGAAATCAACGGTTAGCTTAGTCTCATACCAGAAAAAGGGAAGCTGCACGAGCAACATCAGTAGGGTGATATCTATGGTACCTGTCAAGGAACTTCTTGGCACAATTTACAAGAATATGTGATAGTGGATAGTATCATCAAAGAATTAGAAGAAATAAAGAGAATGTATAAATTCATCCCACTGAAGGTTGGCCCACTCAATGTCACATTGAGATCAAGAAAATGAAGGAAGAGTAGCTTGTAACAATTGTGTTGAATCTTGGTCTGACTGAGGTAGACAATCTCGAGTTCGGTTTACCTCTTACTAAACTATACTAAAATATAAGCTTGCCTTGGTCTGTATCATATAATAACTGGATTCGAAACAATTGAATGAGGGTATGCTAGTTTTCACGGTATCAGGTTCCAGAGTCATATGGTAACTAACTAGCATTGAATTGGTTGGCACCGTCAACAGGAATTCATAATCAATTGAAGTATGAAATTAACTATCGATGTAAAGACTGCAAGAAGGTAGTGCTCCACAGAAGGCAGGCAAAGAAGGTTTCTATAATGTAGAAAAATGTTAGAATATAATATAAAAAAGTTAAATTCACTCTACAGCCTAAATTAGGTCTGAATCTTGAGAAACGAATTGATGAACCAAAAATTGCATACTTCAATGAAAGTAAATATTTTCATGTAAAAGGAAGAATCTGAAACAAATGATTAAATTTCACAGGAAAGCACCAAACTGATAAAGTGGATACAAGTAGATCTTCACAAATAACTCCTCTGCAGAATGATAACCATAAAATTTCTTTGCTCGAACAAGACAGCACCCGTGTACATGTTGTTTTTTCAATCCATACGTGCCCTTAACAGAAATCATTTCAGATGAAAAATGTCATATCAATTTCGAAAGAAAAGAATGCTTTAAACATCAAGTAAACATATAATACCTGCAACGCCCTTTCAACAGCATCAGATACTTCGTTCAAATAAATTTGACCTAGGTCGCATGTAGTTAAAACGCCACAAATTAGAAGGAAGTTATCATAATATTTAGGTAGTTTTTAGGGAAATATCTGGAGAATAATAAGGCTAATCAATAGTTCAACTACTCTGTAGGGGAGAGGAAAACTAAAAATCAATATCGAAATAAAAATTATTACTTTTCTATTTTATAGGGAGTTACCTGGAGAATCATGAGGCTAATCAATAATTCAACTACTTTGTAGGGGAGATGAAAAATAAAAACCAACAACGGAATAAAAATGGATAATTTTATTTAAGAAATCACAAAACTAATAGTTTATTGATTTATGTGATAGAAACGAGAATGATTGTTCATAACGTGTGACACGAACATGATGTTCAAAAATGCACAATATGAACAACGCTGTTTCCTTAACATCACTTGTTGCTTATAGACACCAATGCATCTTGGTCATCTTCTCGACTAGGCCACACCTTAAAAACTATTCCTGGAACTCCAAATTCAAATTATTTCTACATTCAAGAGAAACTACCCTAGCAAACATGCTTCATCAATGAATCTGTATAGTTCCAAACTTTAAAAATAAAGTAAACAAAAAAATGAAGGTAAGCTTTGGGAATAGATGAATAAAAGTATTTTGCAGACTAAAACGATGAAGATAATCAGAGCTGCAAAAACCCCATGTGGCTAATCATTGATCAATCGTTGATGTTACAAGTTGATAAGTTTAATCATTCAATAAAAGATGTTGAACTAGCCGCAGTAGACAACTAAGAAGGCTCTTAAGAATCAAGAATCATTCAGTAAACCTTGTTCAAACTCCCAATACTACAGAACATATCTCCACATCAAGCAATTACATATGTCCAATTTTCAATTCCGTTAATATCCAGCTGGCTATAATCTTAATTATCCTCTAGAGTATGGAACAATATAGAAATGAATTCTGTTGATGTCTAAAAGTAAGGAAAAAATTGACAATTTTCTTTTGAGTACGACGGATTAGTTTCATTTTTTTTTTTCTATTTTTATATGAATAATATGCTGCTCATTCTTCCGAAGGATAAAACAAGGCATTGCAAAGCATCCATTTGAAGGTGTGGTACTGCAAAGTCAAGATAACCAAATGAAGTCAACAAACTTTTTGGAAATTTGGACATGACTCTTGTCCAATAATTCAAAACTACTATTTTGGGAATGCTGGGTTTCTGGCATGGTCTACATATCTTGGTGAGGACCCAGTCAATGCATAGGAGGCTTTTTTGAGAATTCACCAAGCACACACTTGTACATAATGATCATGTGTTACCACCACTTTCAAAAAAAGGACGAAAATTATAGAAGACATGAATGTCTACTATTCCTTTTTAGTAAAAATCTATAAACACTAAATTAATAAAAAATATAGAAAAAAATAAGATAATCTTAAATTACAGGGAGAAAATATTACCTTCTTTGGACATCTCAAGCTCGGAACAAGGAATGTATAAATAAGGCAAGGCCTACAGAAATAAATTAAAAAGAGAAAGATAAGAAAGAAAGCATTTTAAAACCTCACATTTCCAGATAGCATAATTTTACAACCTCGCATATTTATAAACTAACGCTAATATATGCTTTTGATCATCGAATTTTTGTCATATAGCACGTAGAGAAAGTTTAACATTGTTATAAACACACCATCATGTTTAAACGTTCATCCATGTATCTTTATTCGATGGTTCCACTGTACTGATGGCGATGAGGCCATAAACGTATCATCATATCCATGCTTTGGTTTGGGCCTATAAAGAAGCAGCGACTATCTTCCATCTTGACCGAAGTAATTGCATCATGTTCCAACACAAAATCCTTGGAGAAAATGTTAGTCATGATTCATGTTTCATATCAGTGACGTGCCATCTCAAACCAGAATGACAGATAACACCAGAATCATCAAAATCAGGACAAAAATATTTCTAAATATGCACCAATTTAGAAAATAAGTTATCAAAACATGACGTCAAACCAAAGCTTAGTATGAACGAACATGGAAGAAGAGGTGACAAGGAATAGAAAATAGCGTACCCGATGAACATGCAGGCAAGCCTTCTGTCCCGCTAAGGTAGAACCATAAATCCGGATGACGGGGACCTCCTCCACTCTCCTACCTGCCGGAGGAAAAGGAGAGGTCATCATCAACGGCCACACTGCTAAAAAAAGAAAAAACTGAAAGCGAAAACTCGCAACAAGACGTCACCAGGGGTACGAGGAGGAGACTCAATTGGCAGGTGCATCTACCTTGGAAGCAGGGGCTGTCGCAGAAGTCCAGACCAGTGATAGGCGCAGCCATGTAGTAGTCGAGCGAGACAACCCGTATGCTAAAGATATTCGGACAGCCGGGGGAAGGAGGCGTCGACTCGGGAGTAGAAGACATCTCGGATCAAGAGGAACCCGCCGCGCTGCGGCCCCAGGTGGAGAAGGAGGTCGAGACGCGCCTTTCATTCATAAATACCGCACCGCCGGCGTTTCGGTCAAAGACCTGCTCCGTGGCGGCGAGGCTTCTCCGGCAAGCTGCGAGGTGGCAGGTAAAATCTGAACACCTGAGAATGGTAATTCGGTAGATAACACGAAATTAAAGCCCGGAAACGAACGGAAACCCTAGTCCTGCCCATGCAGCCTCCATGCTTGCGCCCATTTGACCGGCGAATGCGGCAAGACGGGAGATGCAGAGAACACCTACTCACCGCTGTCGCTTACTTCGCCGCCGCCGCCGCCGCCGCCTTCGTCTCCGTCGTGCCAGAAGCTTCAAATCACCACCACAGTCTGAACAAGATGCAAAACAGAGGAAGAAGAAGAAGATAATTGTGAAGAAAAGACTGCCGGAGCCACCTGCCCCCGACGCCGGCACCCGCTCACCGCCACCGATCCCGCCGGTCTGCTGCCGACGCCACCGGTCCTCGTTCGCTAAAGGAATAATTCACAACAATTACCATTTAGTTTAAACTGTTGTTTACATATCCTCATAAATTATTATTTTTTTACTTATATCCTGTTTAAAATGCCACGCTCTTTCCCGTCAACCCGGACTCCCATCTGAACTGGGTGTGATCTAGTTAAATACATCAGGCTATATAACTAATTAATATCTATTTTGGACCTAAATATATTTTTTTAGAAAGCGGGCACCTGAAAATTAGAAATTATAATAAGATCTAGGTAGTTTATAAGGAGTTATTTGGAGAATATCAGGCTAATAAATAATTCAACTGCTTCTTAGGGGAGATGACAAATAAAAACCAATATCGAAATGAAAATTGTTATTTTTATTTAAAAAATAAATAATAATAATTTCTCGATTATCTCATTACTGGACGGGGTGTGCTCCACTAAATACATCAGGTTATATACCTGAGTAATTATCTATTTTGGACCTAATATATCTTTTTTATAAAAGCGGGTACCAATATGTAAAATGCCTCGTAACCAGGATCGTTCGCAACCTGCAACTCTCGTGTGAGAGATTCCCGCGGTCCACGGAGGAGGAAAGTGCCGGCCCCCGGGACCTGAAAGCCGCGTCGCAGCGTATGGGGGCGGAAGTGGGGAGGCGCCGGCGAGTGGTGGTAGATCTTTCGAAGAGGACGCCGCCTCCCGGTGTATTAGATCCTGGCGGGCGTCCAAGTTCAGGTGCCGGAGATGGCGTCAACGGAGGGGATTTGAGGAGAATAAGAATCAGAGCATCGCCCGGAGAAGAAGCTCCCCCTCTTTTTCTTCCTGTCGCCGTCTTCCTTCGTCTGTTTATGGCTGGCGGGGATGCTCCTGCTTCCCTACTCCTCTGGGCGTCTTTATTCCGGCGAAGAGAGCCGCCGGAGTGGCTCCACGTCGGCCGTCCTCATCTGCGATGCCGCGGGCCGACGTCGCCCTCCCCCGCATCACATGTCGGTGAAAAAACCGTCGACATTCCCTCCCCACTTTCATCTCCACGGCCTCCACCATTCGTATCTGCCCATCTCCCTCTCTCTCTCTCTCTCTCTCTCCCTCTAGCGTAGGAATGATATCTCGTCGATTCGGACAAAAAACAAGAGTTCCACATGCCTATTCTACGTGCTGACGGCCTGGTCGTCAAAGCCGGCAAGATCTCATGCACGGAATAAAGCAGAAACAGTGTGGCGCACTAGAGAAAGAGGAAGAAGAAGAAGAAGAAGAAGCAGGCAAGTCTCCGTCGTAAGTGCCCGCAAGCTATGAAGAGGAGAGAGAGAGATAATTTCTATCCACCTCCTCAAATCCAAATGGGCAGCCAGTTTTATCCACTGGAATCTCATTCCCGTCTAACCTTAGAGCTCCGAGGGGAGAGCTCCGGAGCCCGCCTATAAATGGAAGCTCCAGCCCACCATGGATTCTCACCGGAGAAGGACGAGAAGAGAGAAGGGCGAGAAGAAGAGCTAGAAGGGAAAGATATCAATCTCTCCATGGATAGGGTGATGTGGCTGGCATCTCAGAAGGCGGTGGTGGTCTTCAGCGTCGGTTCCTGCTGCCTGTGCCACGCCATGAAGACCTTCCTCTCCAATCTCGGCGTCAACTACGCCGTCCACGAGCTCGACCAGGAGCCGCACGGCCGGGAGATGCAGCGGGCGCTGGCCAGGCTCGTCGGCCGCGGCCCGCCGGTGCCGGCCGTCTTCATCGGCGGGAAGCTCGTCGGCTCCATGGACCGGGTCATGGCCCTCCATCTCGGCGGCGACCTCCTCCTCCTCCTCCGGGACGCCGGCGCCATCTGGCTCCTCCCCTCCGCCGCCGGCCGGAAGACCCCCCTCTAGTTCCCCGCCGCCGGAGGTCGCCGGAAAGACCGCTTCTCGCCGCCGTTCTGGCCGTGGGTCGCCGGAAAGACAGCTTCTTGCCGCCGTCCCGGTGACGGGTCGCCGGAAAGATCGCTTATTGCCGACAATAACGTGTAGAAACGCAGCTTCTTAGGCGATTTTGCATGCATCCGTGAGATTTTGTACTTGAAAGACGAGGCCTTTCCCTCTTCAATCCGAGTTCCATATCTCCTCGCGCAGACCCTCCTCATTCATGTCTGATCGTACGTTACGACTCAGTGAGTCACTCACTAATAGCCGATTTATTGTTACACCATGAATAATTCGGGTAATCGCTTATTCTAGCGTAATTTACCAAATTAAATTATCATCCTTAATTAATGGGGTAAGCTTGTGATGACGTCACTAATTCCATCGTCATATTCCCATAAATACATAACTTGAACCCTCAGTTCTCCAAAGTTTAAGAATAAAACAGCAAAAGTGCGCCTAATTTTTAGAGACCGAGAGTGGGGGTAAGGTCATATTGTAAAATAATGCATAATGGTGGCCGAATTCGCAAGAGATTTATGAAGCATATTGTAAATAAAAGTTCATATTAGTCCTCTTTTACCTTGAAAGTAACGAATTAACGCAACTCTTGATTAAATTGTGAAAAGAAGTGGTTTGAGTGCAGTCGTAAGCTCGAGAACCTGACGAGTTGCACCGGCGGATGATCTCCGGTGTCCTGCACTGATCTTTCTCCTCCTGTGCTTCTTGATCTTGCCGCCATGCAGCTGGCGGTGGATTCTCCTCTTCCTGTCTTCGCCGCCTCCTGGTTTCAGTCGCCGGGCTTCGACAGTTCTCCGGCACCTGCCATAAAAGCGATCTCGTGACCCTCTAGCCTCTCGTGTGATTTTATACAAGCGGATCGAGTGAAGAACTCACCGCACTTGCTCGATCTGGCCATCGTCAGATTCTCTCTTCTCGATGGAGATATGAGGGGAGGTGGTATCCCCTTCGATGCAGAAGTCGCCGGCGGCGATTGGAACCTCGTTTTGTGGAAGAAGATTTATCAGGAAGATTAGATCCCATGGAGTACTAGAAGGTCGCAGCATGGCCGCGGCAGGGACTGTAGAGATACCTGAAGGAGGTCAAATGGATATTCGTCGTAGACTGGGATTTTGTTTGAGAAATCCTCTTCGAATTGAACCTGGTCCTGTTCCTGGTCGTTGGATTCCTCCTCTCTGGACGATTCTCTCTCTGTGCTGGGAGTCCGGAAGGGATTGTCTCTGTCTTCCTCGTCGTCGTCGTCCTCCTCCTCCTCCTCCTCCTCCTGTAAGGAAATAGGGCTTTCGTCCTCTTTCGAGCCCCAGGCTTCAAATCTGGCAAACTCTTCTGCAAGTTGCCGCAGCTGTATTCTCAGATTCTCCACCTGCCCTTCGTTCTTCCTGCATCGACTCGGAGAAACATCCTGAGATTGTACTGATCTGGATTCCATCTTCTCCCCTTCCTGTTCTTCCCTCTCGCCGCGGCCGCCGCTGTCGCTTCTCTCTGTGTGCTTCTCCGATAATGTGGACACCGGAGGGGCTTCCCTGGTTTCTCCATCCACCTTCTTCCCGCCGGAGGGGGATTCCTCCGGCGCCGGCGGGATCTTGCCGAAGGAGGAGAGTCGTTTCGAGAGAAGGAGGAGGCGGCGGCGGCGGCGGCGGTGATTGGCCTCTCCGGCGGCGGCGACGGCGTGCTTGGATCCGCCGCATCCCATCGTGGACGGTGAGAGTGACGAGAGAGGAAGAAAGAGGGGTAGAACCTCCTAGCAGGTTCCAACTGGGGTTGTCTCCAGCATGGAAGTAGGGATAAACTTGGTCCAACCATGGCTTCCTGATGGAGGGGGTAGAATCCTCGTGAAGCAAGCAGAGATTGCCACGGCCAAGAGATCCGACCCAGAAGAGACGCCGCCGCGCATTGCGGAGCATACTCCGACTCATCTGTTTACCGATTCTCTCTCGTCCTCTCTCTCTCTCTCTCTTCTACCCGCTCTCTGTCTATCACCCCTCCCCGTTGTCTCCCTTCTCCATCTCTCACCTCACTCTCCCCCTCCACTCAAGTCTCCTCCTCGTTTTCCCTCCTCCAACTCTCTTCCTCTCCTCCCTCTCTCCCTCTCCCTCTCTCTCTCTCTCTCTGTCCCCTACCCGCTCTCTGTCTCTGTCTCTGTCTCTCTCTCCCTCCCTCCCTCCCCGCTGTCTCCCTTCTCCAACTCTCAGCTCCCCACTCACTCAGTCTCCCTCCTCGTTTTCCTTCCTGCAACTCTCTCTCTCTCTCTCTCTCTCTCTCTGTAATATGATCATAGGACTTGAGTAAGTTGGCCTTTAGATTAGAGGAATATTCAAGGACCTACTAAGGCTGCGTAAACTTTTTCCTTCCGATCCCAACCAAAAGATTATTACTGTTGAGTGAGCAACCAGAAAGTGGGAGATATATTATTTTTCTGTCATCAAGAAAATTAATAATGCAACAAGTAAAATAATAAATAAATATGATTGTACGGAAATGATAAATCGCTGCTTGGGCCAACCTCTCCGCCTATCTCTGATCTCCTCGCAACGATGCAGGCAGCCCCTTGGAGCGCCTCTTCTCCTCCGACCTTCACGACCTGCATTCCCCGCTCGCTTCGCTCCCCGCTTTCTCCGGCGCCGCGGTGGCGGCTCCTCCTGGCTTCCTCCTCTGCCGGCGTCTCCCAGAGCTTCCCCTCGCACGGCCTCGCTTCGATGGCGCTGCCCCTCCGCGCTGCGTCTTCTCCTGCCGCCGCCGCCACTACTGTCGGTGAGAATTTCTGTGGTACGAGTGGGGCTGAGTTTGGATTTTCGTCTTAGTACGCGCTGGTAGATACGGTGGAACTCGGAGAGAATGGATTGCAGTCTGGATCGCGGTTTTCAGCATCTTCATGAATGGCGATGGGTTATTCCGGAGGTGTTAATTTGATGGGGGGGGGAGGGGGGGGGGATCTTCCGCCGATAACAAGATCTAAGAGCATCATTCCAGAAAGCATGTCTTTTGGTCATCTCTGGCTTGATAATTTTGACCGGATGACTAGTGATTGTAAGTGATATTTGTGCTCAGTATTCGAAGCTTTTCTTTTGCGCATATCTTTGTTCTAGATTAACCCACCGAAAGAGTTTTTCTGTCTTCCCGTCGAGGCAGAACCGAGCTACGCCTCATCCTACAACAAGATGATTTGAGTCCTCCACTTAGCTTTCTAGACGCTTGTCAAGGAGTGTCTTGTCGATTTTGACCAGACCACACCTTCTTTAGCTTTCTCACTGGCAGTCCCTCGTGGGTAGCACCGAAGAAAGGAAAGAGGGAGATGGTGGTTTTTGTTGTTCCCGTGAAGCGAAGATCATTCGCTTGGCGAATGAAGTGGATCAACCTAATCAAATGCAGCCTTTTTGTCTCTCGTTTGGTCCCATTCTGGATTGATTGCTTTCACGTTACGTCAATTGGCCTCATTAGCCATCGTGAATAATTAATGGCACATATAGTTATAACATTGGCCCGGGGCTTTTTTTATCATCTGCTGAAACAAGCTTTACTTTACAATCTTGAGACAATTTCGAATTAATTTAGTCCAGTCCTGCGATATAATTCTCTCAATGACAATGAGATGCCCAAGCAACTGAGGAAAATAGTTACTTTGCACCCTAACGTAGCACCAGATTCTATTAGTTTATCCTTTGATATACCAGTGTCAATTCTTTTACTTGATAGGTACACTAGCAACTTTACTGCCTAGCATAGCACCAGATTCTTTCACTTCATTCTTCCATAGGTCAATCATAAGTGTTCTAGTTTCCTGCAATCATGTATTTTCTGATCAACATCTTCAAATGCTATTTTACTATCTGCGAATTGAAGTTTGTAAGGAAAAAGTGTTCCTACTCATATGTACGATGTTAATCATGTCCACGTTGGCAATCCTTAATTAGATTTGACATTTTTTCTTTAGAGCGTAGTCGATGTAATATGAAAGCATACTGTTACTTCTTGTCTATAACTTGGAGAAATCTCTTTGTGAAGACAAGACAACTTAAATGTTTCAGTATTATTCTAACATCATGTTGTACTTAGATGGAGTTTCGATTTACTTGAATCCCATCAAGAGTCTGACGTATGGTCCATAAATGCCTTTAGGTTAATCAGAACCACTTCTTTCTAAATTTGAGGCATAATGTTAGTGCTAAAGATCTTATAACTGACTGGAAGTTATTTTAAGTCCAGAAAAGCATTGCGCAGAACATCATCTCTATATTTACCATAATAGCATTATTTTAGTTTTTATTAATTTAATTATTTTCTGCAACTCTTAGTTAGTGTCAAATATTTTAATGTTATTCCAAAAGTGGAATCGTCTTTTTTCCTTTCAATTTGCTGATGTCCTATAGTGACGCAATTTCTTGCTTTGTTTATTGTAAAATATTGTCGGTTTTTTTTATAAATGCAGGTCTATCTAATGATGGAGAAAAGGCACCCATTCCATCTTCTGTTGGAGAGAATGATCTGCTGATAGTAGGACCAGGTGTACTCGGCCGCATTGTAGCAGAGAAATGGAAAAAGGTATCAATGTAGTTTACCAAATTCATTCAATTATCTGTAAAGAAAGGTCATATTCAATTTTTTTCCAACAAAGAAAAGGTTTTCTCATGTAAAATTTCTTCATACAGTTTAGGTCATGTTCCTAAAGGCCTTCCCTTGCAGGCAGAGCATTAGATGACTGACTTGCCTTCATCATTCCAATAAATTGATCTGTAATTAAGAATGCAGGAAGTCAAAGAGATCTCTTGTTTGTGAATGATGTGCGTGCTGTTATGGTATCATTTTATCCGTTTATCTTTCTTTTGGGTAAAGTGATTGAAGTTGATCTAGTGTCAGAAATGGATTTATACTTTGCAATGCCAATATCTTGCTGATGCTTACATTTCAGGATATCCATTATCCTGAGCTATTGGCCCTTGATTTCGTTTTATTTTATGATTTAATCCACACCTCTAAACTCTGAAGCTAATGGTGACAACACAATGATTATGATTGTTGGGCACATATCAAACGTGTTGACATTTGCGTTTAAGACTTTAAGGACAAGATGCCTAGTTTGGAAATCTCTGAAAGAAATTTGATAAAATGTTGGAAGGTTGTAAAGACAAGATTTGGATTTTCTAGAGAATTATGTGCTTTATGCCATCCGCAAACCACATATAATGATAGAAAGAACAATGTCAATGGAGGAGTTGAGCTCATGGAGATAGAAATCACACGAGGGGAAAGTTCACTAGTTATTAGAAGTCACTGTATGCAACACTGGATCTCAAATTTGCAGAATTCCATTCCCATGTAGATGATCACACTTGAGCATGCTCACTTGTGATCATCTTGGTTTGTTTATGTACAACCACATGTCCTTCTGTGAGAGGAGTTACTGGATGTGTTTTCATTTCCGTTGGAACCAGGTGATTCCACCACATGAAGCAAGCATACTATGGCATATCCATGATGTAGTTGAGGAGATTTGACAATGTGGTTGGCAATAGTGGATACTCCAAGGTGATAGAGAAATCACATTTGAATGAGAAGAACAGTTGACATTCTTGACAGCACACTTGCTTGGCAGGGAAGATGGTCATTAGTGCATGTATCATTGGGAGAGTATGCTAGTTGTTTTTGTAAAAAGGGGAATATTCCACGACGTTCAGAGATCTGGAGTTTTGCATCTTCTCTGCCATCTTCGTGTAGGATTTGGAAATATTTTCTAGAAGGCCTTTGGGACACATTGGATATATACTTGGCTATCTTCCTTGTGTTTTGAATATTCATTTAATATGTGGTAGTTCCCCCTTTCAGAAACATTAGCTCATATTCTCTAGCAACCTTGGTTATAATTTACTTTCTTTTATTCTACGGGGTACTCCAGCAGATGTCTGAACTTTAACAGAGTCAGACCCCTCCGGCTTATAACAGTAGTATGAGACCAAAAACATGGTCTTATTGAGTTAAGAACTAAGACAGGTTCTGCCTAGAAGCACGGATGACTAATGAAGCAAATTTGTTTAATTCGTTTCAGATACATCGGAAGTTTATCTATAGAACACTTGATAGTTGATCTAATATTAGAAGTCAAAGTTACTCTTTTCTCCCGGTTTCAATCAAGAAAACCTTATATCGTCTAAAATTTTCTCATGAAAGTGCCCAAATAGATTCCTATGTGTGGAACACTAGAAAAATGAGATAACAATGTTAATTCATTTGGCAGAATATCTCGGTTTGAGGTCGTCAAAATGAGAGAGGCCTCTTTTGGATGAAAGCTTTTTGGATGCGCTGTTCTGTATTAACCATTATTTCAGTCTTTTTGAAATAAATCCATCTTCCCAATTCTATCACGTATCTCAAACGGCGGAACCCTTTAGGAATGCAATTCTTCCCAGTGTTTTGATCTTAAAGCCATGAGAAATGAGAGAAAACCTGGCTTTATCAGGTTCTACGCCGGTTTAACATTTTCAAATTGCTAACAATGAAAAGGAGAAATGCAATTGATTTTTCTGACGAAAATTATGTTTACTCGGACTGGGTCATTGACCTGATAAACTTGAAAACAAATCAAAATTTGACCATATCAGATTGGAATGACTTCTCATGCAATCTTTGCGATTTCCATTTTTTTCCACTATTCTTATTTTCCTTTTTGTTTCACTTAGATTCCTGTTATTCTTATTTTTCTTCATTTGCACCATTATTCGCCGTCATTATTCTCCCGATGTTTTCCATCCCAATATCAAGTCCATCTCTTGATGTTCATCCTAGGACTACCCTGGCTGCCAAGTCTTTGGACAGACACTGACCACCGATCATCATGATGAACTGCGAGAACTTGGAGTCCAACCACTATCAAGTGGTTCCAGCATCAGCAAATTTCCTTTCGTAATCTTTTGTGCTCCTCCTTCGAAAAGTCTAGACTATACTGCTGATGTCAGGTACTGATCATGCTATCCATTTGTGGATGTTTAATGATTTGCTCCTTCATTGTGCTTTTAAAGACCCCCAAAGAAAAATACATCTTTGACGATCTTGGTGTGTATTTTTCTCCTTCTTACACCTAATATATGTAGATCAGCTGCATCGAATTGGAGTGGAGAAGGTTCGTTTCTATTTACTTCCAGCACGGCTGCTTATGATTGCAACGACAATGGACCATGCAACGAGGTCTAACATCTGTTTCACATTGTTCATATGGTTTATGGCGCTACTTTCTTGTTTAGATGCCGGTAATCTTGATCGGGTTGGTTTTAATTTCATCAAAGTTGATGACCCCACGGATCCAATCAGTAATGAAAATAAAATACGATGAAGCAGCCCACTAAACTTCTGATTTGTAAGATTCCTAGCCATTTTGACACCTGTTTATGACAAGATGAAGAATCTATGTTGATGCAACCTCACCACCTCCACATGTTCATAAATGGACTTAGAACTTCCCAAATGTTTCTCTCTCTAGAGGCCCCTTGTGCTTATATGTTCATCCTCCTGATGTTCCTAAATGTCTTTCAGAACTGCCTTTTTTAAAATTCTCTCACCCTTTGGAAACTCTTCTCGTTCTTCTCTCTCTAAAGCTCCTTCTGGCTTGCATGATCAACCATCAAGACAGAATCTAAATTCATCCAACCTCTCCTCCTCCTCCTCCTCATGTTCATAAAATGGATGTCAGAGCTGCACGAGAATTTTCTCCATCTGTAGGTCCCTTGGGCTTGCATGTTCGTAAGCTGATGTCAGAACTGCCCATAATTTTCTCTCTCTAGAGGTCCCTCAAGACTGCGTGGCCGCCAACCACAAGCTTAGATCTCTCTTCGGCTAGAAAATAAAGAGTAGTAATATCTATGACATCATCTTAGGCTCTCGGAGAGAAATTACTGGTTTCCGTTCATCGGATGGCTTCAGCTTCAGCAACCTTTTTGTTATATATTCTGTGCAGGACTCTCCAATAGTCCCCATCGGGAGAAATCGTCGAACGGATGTCATCCTCAATGCAGAAAATGCGGTGTTGGAGGCCAGCGGCTGTGTTCTACGGCTAGCAGGGCTCTATATATCCCATCTTTAATGCTTCTTTGACCTGCAGACGAAGCATCATATTTTCTACCAAAATACTGCGTCATAAATGCTGAATATTCCCTTTTTCCCATAATAATGTAGCATTTATTGATACATCATTATTCGATTATTTTCCCAAATAGTTCTTTATTTCCTTAACTGGTTATACAAGTCTGACAGGGGTGCCCACGTGTACTGGCTGGGGAAGGGCAGTGACGAAAACCGCCCGGATCATATACTCAATCTTATCCACTACGAGGTGACTTCCTCTGTCTCTGCTTAGTCAGATTTTTTACTGCCACCTTCAGTCGTATAAAATAGAGCAAAAAATTGTTGGAATAATTTTGCCGAATTTATATTATTGTTACGTGGGAAATAATGTGTGGTGGTGAAGATTCTCTATGATTCATCTGACTGATCTAGCAACCCAAATATTCTCTCTTATAATAATATTTTAATCAGGCATTAGCGAAGATTCATTGTAAAATAATTATAATGTCGTTGTCTATTTTGATTGGCTTCAATTTTTTTCTTGCATCCCCTTTGATTGCGATCTTCAAGAAGCTAGGATGTAGGAGGATGCTGGTCATTTATCAGATTAATTTATTAAACTAAGTTGGGTTTTATTTAATACGAGTTTTTATCGAGCTTAATTGGAGATTCATCATAATAGTTATAATGTCATGATCTATCTCGATTTCTTCTTCTTCTTCTTCTTCTTCTTCTTCTTCTTTTAATCCAACCCTTAAGAAGAGTAGATTGCTGATTATTTATCAGATTATGCTCGTAAATTAAAAAAGAGCTTTATTTTATAAATTTTGTATATGTTTGGTGTAGTTTCATTGTAATGATATTTTTTTATCGGATTGCCTATTTTATTTATTTATTTTATTGATTTGTTGGTGAGGCCCTAGAATGCCAACGTCTGTTTGCATTGATCCTTAAGACGGGATGTTGGAGATAATTCATAACCCAAATGATGTTGCTTTTATTTTATAAAAAAAATTCTCGAGTTGCAGGGTGATATAAAACTTTTTGTAAAGAAAAAGGGGCCCATTTGGATTTTATCTGATGGTTATTACTTTCTTGCTTGCTGCTCGGAACCCAGGATGCTGCATCCCTCTCAATCGCCATCTTGAAGAAGCAACTCAGGGGTCGAATCTTCATGGGCTGCGACAACCATCCCCTGTCCAGGTCTGGTCCTCTCTCTCTCTCTCTCTCTCTCTCTCTCTCTATCTATCTATCTATCTATCTTTCAATCTCTCATGGGTAGAAATAAATAATCAACCGAACCCACTGAGCCACTCTCTTTCTCCCTCTATTTCGCTCTCTCTCTCTCTAATTATCTATCTCTATCTCATAAATGCCGCGGGATGCTCTTCCTTGCAGGCAGGAAATAATGGATTACGTGAACAAAAGTGGGAAGTTCGACAGGGTCTTTGATAAGTTTACCGGTGAGATCATATGGATGACTAGCCTCCCTCTCTCTCTCTCTCTCTCTCTCTCTTTCTCTGTGGGAATATGAGCCACGTTTTCGCTGCGTTTGTAGGGACGGAGGGCCCCTTGGGGAAGAGACTGGACAACTCGAAGACCCGGGCGGAGATCGGGTGGGAGCCCAAGTACAGCAGCTTCCCTTTCTTCCTCGACCACCTAACCACCACCCGCGACGATCACTAGCAGCTCCCCTCCCCCTCTCTTATTTTCTCCGGCCTCCGCTGTAATCTTGGGGCGCATTCATTCATGCAAACGCCCCCTCCCTATGACTGTTCGAAGCGGGCAGTCTTTGCTTCTAACAATGCTCCTCATTTGAATGAATAAGCGTATTCACTTCGACAGAGTTACGTAGAGAGATGAGAGAGAGAGAGAGAGAGAGAGGGGGGGGAGGGGGAGGGACTTACCTCTCTTCAACAACGCGATTGGGAGATAGAGAGAGATCACATTCATCAAAGGATTTCGACCTGTCTTTACTTCAACGAGAGGTATAGATTAATAGAGAGAGAGAGAGAGAGGATCACTGGGAATGGAGAACCCTAAAAGTTAGAACAACTCCATATAAGGGATCCCCAGTAGGGCCAGAGCCATAATCTGAAAGAGGGGATTAATATATGAAATCAGCAGACCCACTCGCCACCCCATAAAAGAGGAGGGGAGGGGGACAGAATGTGCGAGAGAGAATAAAAATCCCTACCGATTAACGCCTCCCCGTCGTCAATCTATGCGAGGAATCCTCGCGAAAGCTAGGGAGGGAGGGCAAAACTGAGGGATGGAACCCTAACAATTACATACAGATGGAAGTCCGAAGCCGGAAAGCTTACAGCGAACGACGATTACCGACCCAGATTGCAGAACACGCCCGTCTGTTCTTGGTGAGCACCCATTTCTGGCAGCTCGGCCCCCATCACTCTCCCCCCTTCTTCTCCTTCTTCTTCTTCTCCTTCTTCTCCTTCTTGCTTCTGGCCGCTGTGTCTTCTTCTTCTTCCTCCCGCTTCTTCTTCTTCTTCTTCTTCTTTTCCTCTTTTGTGTCCTCCGGAGTCCTCACCTCGACCTCTTCCTCAGCCTCCTCCTTCTTCTTCTTCTTCCTCTTAGGCTCTTTGGTCTCGGGCACGGCGACTGGGGCCTCTGCTTCCGCTGTCTGGGCCTCCTCAGGAGCCGCCTCCTTCTTCTTCTTCCTCTTCTTCTCCTTCTTGGCTTCCTCTGACCCGGCTCCGGTCTGCGGCAGCTCTGATTCCTCGTGCTTTCTCTTCTTCGAAATCGCTTCCACCATGGCATCCTCCAGTTTCCCATTTGCCTGATCAGAAGTCTTCCCCATGACCAGATCCGACGCGGGATTGTAGGACTGCAGAATTTATATATATATATAAAATACAGATAACAGCCAAGATTAGAAATTACTAGTTTGGCATTCAATTCCGAAAGGCATCCACTGAACAATGACAACCAAAGCAATCAGATGAAGATGAGAAAGGAAAAAAAAAGAAAGAAAAAAGGTTGACCTTGGCAGGTGTTATGAGAGCTCCGATCCCTTTCTTCCGGTCCTTGTCGTAGAATTCTATCTTTGGCTTGCCCTTGGCTGACCCAGCTGCGCGTCCCAGCTCCCTGCCCTCAAGAACCCGCAAGCGAGCCTCCAACTATTTTCACAGAATTGAAAAAAGATATGGATTAAAGCGTGATGAATCAAGGAAATCAGCCAAGTTAGGGAGCTCAAGTTTCCCGAAATGCCTACCTTGGCACGGTTCTCCAATCCCATGGAATTGTCTTCGCCTTCGCCAAGAGCATCATATCGGATGGCCAAGGCTGTTTTGGCTGCCAGAGAACGCGAAATCTTCCCCTTCAGCTTTGGGGCTGCCTGGCCAATGAGGGATGCGTGGTATATGAGCCCGTACTTGGGAGTGGCGTGCTTCGTCTTCAGTGCTCTAAAGAGGGCCTGGAGAAGCCCACGAAAGATAAAATCAAGAGGATGTTGTAAACAAATATCTGTCATTAAATGGAAATTATTTTCACTAAAAAAACAACTTTCGGAACAACTTTCGGAAAACAACTCCAAGAAATAGCAGAAGAGCAAACAGTCCTCAATCTGTTTCTAGGTGGGGAAGTCATGCCATGAATCATAAGAAAATAATCGATGGGCTCTACCAAGGTTATGTGAATGGACTGTACCGAGGTTCTTTGATTCGGAGAAAAAATCATAATCTGATGAGCTTTTAACAAGGTCAATCTTTCGGATTCCTTTTCATTATTTCAGAGCATTTTACTTAGATCCAAGGAGAGAATGCACTGTTTATTCATTATTTATCTGACGTCAGAATCCAAGATCCTTATCTGCTCACTGCAGCGAAGGCTACCAAAAATTAAAAACCGTCTGGAGGTATCCTTACTAGCCAAACGCTCTTTATTGACAGAGAAATCAAATCCTCAGCCGTTCCCATCAATGATCCAAAATGGGTTTTTCACAGAAAATTACCTTCTCTGCACCAAGAATCTGCACAGTGCTCCCTGGTTGCTTTGCCAGATTCAACAAGCTGCCACCGTGAGCGATAAGCCGGGCTCCAACAAGCTCACCAACAAGAGCAGTAAGGTTTGGCGCAATAGTATTCATCCTGCTCCTCAGATAATCGTAAAGTTGAGCTCTGTACTCCGAAAGAGCCAACACCTGGTCACAAAGAGCTTTAATGTTTTCCAAGTCCAGGTCACTGACTTCAGTGCCCATGGATATGCTGGAAGCCTCCTTCAGTTCTGCTTCAATCTCCTCCGTTAGGACCTACATATCACATGAAACATTACAACCAACAAAATACGGAATAACTTTTCACATAAAGATCTACAAGGTGAAAAATGCGCTACCTCAGAAAAATCAAGACTCGCCGCATTAACACGGTCACCCATCAGTTTAATTGTCCTTGCGTATTGGATGTTGTCCTGTATAATTTTTGCGAGCTCGGGAAAATGCCACCCGTACCACTCACGAACTCTCATGGCATACGTATTTAGCTCCTTGTCAAGGTCATCCAATAATCCAATTGCTTGAATTATCATAGTGTCCACCTGATTAAATATATAACCCAATCGTGTCGTTCATGAGCTAGAGTAACTTGATTAAATGAGTGTGAATATATGTCTTACAACATGGATTAGTGAATAAAAATAAAAATAAAAATAAAAAATTGCATCCTTTGCCTAACGTTAAATCTAAGCACCTTACTAAGCTAAATAAAATGATCATGAAAAAAGAATGATCATGAAATAAACCCGTTTCCTTGTAACGGTGTGTTCAAGCAGTGAATTTCTACTACAGAAATAAAATGTACTCTACCTTATCGGGGCTGAACTTGAGCTTGTATCTAGAGAGGCTGTGAGATAGACCTAAGCTCATTGGGCCCAAATCCTGGGTGGCCAAGCCTGACACAAGTTCTGTAAGCTGATTCCTCAACCCTCTCATCAATTCCATCACCGCATTGTTGTGAAGGCAATCAATTTTCTACGCACAAAAAACGAGTGGAGGGTTGACCAGGAATGTGAGACTTAATACCCAAGAATAAATTAATTATATCGACTAATAGAAGATTATGATTAGGGTAGATAGGCACCAGTTTCTCTTTAATCGCATTCCCAAGCTTAGAATCAGCCACTGCCAATGTTTCCCCATCGCAGTGAGTACGCAAAAACTTTCGGAGAGTCTTGCTTGGTTTGCTATCGATGAGCAAAGTGGCAGCCGAAAGGGCTTCCGATGTATTCTCAAATTTACTGAAAGCTTTAAGCTTTACCACCTGCAACAAGAGAAAATGGGAAACTTCAGTAAATGTGACTCTAAAGTGCATCTGTCAGAATATACATTAGAAAAATAAGAAGGCAATAAGAGGTGGACAAATTCCTATGAAGAACACGCAGACAATCAGTAACAACTGACCCAGCGAACGAGCATGAGTTGACAAAATTAGTAGTAGAAGAAGACGAAGCAAAAGTAAAAGTTGTCTTACCTGTCTAGCAGATTCGGAAGAGTCAAACTCCTTCCAAAGGTCCTGAAACAATCAGAATCCATCCATCAATGGGAGGGACAGAACTTACAGAAAATGTACCACTAAAATTATAGCACAACGAACACGCACATCGACTTTTGAAAGCTTTGCCTCGTCCAAAACCTTGAACAGGGCGAACCCCGCGGGGGTCTCGAACAGAACCAACATCTAGCCTCGAAACAAGGCACCTGTAGAAAAAAAATATGTAAAAAACGAATCATCACACCGACGGGAGCACATAGAACGAGTAATCAATCTGCTCTTACGAACAAATGAAAAACCATACGCGTATTACTCAATGTATCTTCCTAAAACAAAGTCGAGGAATATCGCTCTAGGGCACTCATACGCCGGTTCACCTCCTAAATGGAGGAGAGCGGCGAACAGTACATACGAGCAGGAGTCTCACACAGACAGCGGATTCCTGCCTCTCGCTCTACCTAGGAGAAATCTTTCCCAGGTTCATGGAGGAAGGGCACCACTCACCTCCTCTACGACTTCTCCCTTGATCCTCCGGACGATCCCCGGCTGGCGGCGCCGGCAGTGAAGACAGGCAGTGGAAGAGGAACGAACCCTGGTAGGCTGCTGGGGTTTTAAGCGGGGGTCGTCTCTGCTAGGGTTTTATAACGTGGGAATGGGGACGATGGAAAAAGGCTACTTATCGGGTTTCTTACCGGAATATAATTTTATCAAATACTATAATACCTTTTAAATATACCCTTTAAGCATTTGACTTTTAATACGCGTATTTGTGTATTTAAATTCATAAAATAAGGTAAATTTGTAATTTAAAAAGTACATATAAATTCCAATAAATGAATGATCTCTAAGAAATTTTATTTCGGTATGTGATATGAATTTATTTTCTAGCACCATTTAAGTATAATATATATTAGTTTATTATTAGCTAAGAATACTATATTAATAGCATTATAATTATCTGCTCTTAGCACAGTAGTCTAAAAATCTTACACGTAAGCATATTTTACCATCCATTATGTATATAATATCTTGATTTAAAAAATATATATATTTAACAATTTCGAGACATTGTGGTTGATTATAGGTCAACAAAAAATGCTAATACTCTTTATTATAATTAAAAATATAACATGCGCATATATGGGGAAAAATTAGAGGGGGTAAGCTCATTTTCCTTATTTGATTTATGGAGAAATTTATTTTTTTAAAGGCAAAACACTTTTTTTCCGAATGTGACAATTTGGAATATAAAATATTATTTTATATGTTAGTCAGAGGATAATGCTCCATAAAATATGTTAGTCTGTCGACCCATTTGCGTTCAGTAGTAGGCCCAAAAACAGAATAAGCCCAGTCCATTAGGGGTCTATCCTAAAGCCCATTATCCAGACTTCTCTTGAAAGCAAGAGAGAGAGAGAGAGAGACAGAGACAGAGAGAGAGATGATGACAGAAAAGATACTGAAGGGTACATCATTACAGATCGGAACGATTTGGAGGTATGAATGTAATTTATGCGATCGTGGTTCAACGGCAGCGGCGGTGGAGAGAGTAGGTGGAGGAGAGGACGAGCGCGAGGAGTATCCACGTGGCAGCGAGAGAGAGGACGATCGTGATTCCCACGTGCCAACAGTATTTGTCGAATATGTTGCACACGCGACTCCAACCCACGTGCGAATTCCCCCTCAGAGCCAGGTATCCAATGGCGCTCAAGGCCCCCGTGGCAGAGCCCATCACGGCTGCCGCCAGCTGGACATTTTAAAATAACACGTGTATCATTAATAATCCGACGTATTCACTCATAATTTTCTGTTGATATAATATAATTTAATAAATATATTTAAATGAATTAAGATGGTTACCGCGTCGGCAAAGGCTAGCTGTAGCAGCAGCCGGGAGGGCGCCGCCTTTCGGCGGAAGAAGACGACCGCCGCCGTGAGGACGCCGTGTAGGAGACCGGCAGCGGTGGCGGCCAGAGAGTAGCTGCATTAGGAAGAGCCATGAGGGCCATTAGGGTTTGCAGAGGAGGAGGGCTCCTTCAAGAAGCTTGATGGAATCTCCCGGAGTAAGAATAAGAAGAAGAAGAACCATGTCTTCCCTGAGCTCACATTATGGCGGAAGAGTATGTAAACTTGGCCTCGTAGGCAGCGGGAGAGGACAGCAGCGGTGAGGAGACCAGCTTTTTCTGGTTGCTGGAGAGCACGACGGCGAGCGACACGGCGGCCGTCGAAACCATCGCCAGCCGGAGGGCGAGGTTCGTCGGCGGTAGCGCCGCCTTCTCGGTGGACTCCATGCAGAAGGGCGGGGGTGGAGGAGGAGTCGAAGGGGAGGCCCCATGTTTATAGTGCGGAGGGGAAGGGAGCGGTCTCCGAGCTCAACGCCGACTTTAATGGCGTTTTCCGGCGATGGGTCGGGGCGTTAAGTCTTTATGACAGTAGATGAAGACAGCTCCCGTCTCTCTCGGGGATGTCCAACTCAGACAGGGAACTAGCAACATCAGTTCCGACGCTGTCGTATCACCTAAAGTAGCCTCTTCCACCGCTCCTCCATGCACCGAAATGAGGAAGAAGCCGACCGGGATTAGGCTTCCGGCGACAGACCTGCTGAGATCCAGCCGTCGCTAGGACATCATACGGCAATTTTTAATGCCAGAGAAGTGTCCGGGGCGGGCTCTGCTCCGCCGCTGGTAGGCCTACCGGCCGGCAGATGCACCTTGAATAACTTGCCGGAAAACGACCAGGCCGAGCCGTTAAATGCGTCTTGTTGCCACCGGCGGCGCCGCCGTGCAACGGATACCTTTCTCTGGAGGAGGCAACCGAGAAGTTGAAGAACAGATAAGCATTGATGGGCAGATATGTGCGTAAACAGAGAGAATGGGACAGAGAGAGAGGTAGAGAGCAATGGGACAGAGAGACAGAGATAGAGAGCGAGAGAGAGAGAGAGAGATAGAGAGAGCGAGAGAGAGAGAGAGAGAGATAGAGAGAGCGAGAGAGAGAGGGATAGAGAGAACGAGAGAGAGGATAGAGAGAGAGAGATAGAGAGCGAGAGAAAGAGAGATAGAGAGAGCGAGAGAGAGAGATATAGAGAGAGAGAGAGAGAGAGAGAGAGAGCGAGAGAAAGAGAGATAGAGAGAGTGAGAGAGAGATATAGAGAGAGAGATAGAGAGCGAGGGAGAGAGAGAGCGAGAGAGAGGGGTGGAGAGAACGAGAGAGAGAGGGATAGAGAGAACGAGAGAGAGGATAGAGAGATGGAGAGCGAGAGAGCGAGAGATAGATAGAGAGAGAGATACGGTCCATTCAATATTTCCGGGTCCAGATCCCAATTTTGTTAATATATTATTAGCAGTCTTCTTCAGCTACAAGTGAGATCAATTTTGACTAATTATTTTATTTCAAAACTATAATTAACAAAAATTCTAAAAATTCGTATCGCTACCGTCCAAATGGGCGTTTTGGGATTGATTTATGTGTCAGACACGTGGCAATAGATGTGAACATCCTAATCATCCCACGTCGACTAGTTCAGTTCCCTCCCTGGGAAGAGAGAGAGAGAGAGAGAGAGACGTTGGGCCCCACTATTTTATACAAAGTCATTTATAACCGATATCGGTAATGGGTTTGGATCCTTCTTGGGTTGCGAAGAATCCGAAAGCCGACGGAGCTTTCTTTCTTTCTATACAGTACTTCTCTCCGATCCCCCAATAGAAACCCTGATCCTTCTTGGCCCCGGGTTTTCTCGGGAAGGCGGAAGTGGAGAAACCCTAATCCCTACGCCCCGATCTCTCTCGATCTATCCGAAGAAAGCTTTCTCTTATCCGATTTGGATGTTTTTATGTATTCCCCTGTCTTCCCCGGTGCCTGCGTTTCTATCCCTCCGAAGAGCGGCATGCTCGCAGGTGAGATTGGTGTCGCCGTGTACAGGTTTTTCCTGGGGGCTTCTTTGGTTTACTCGGCTTTAATCGATGTGTCTTGTTTCTTCTATCATTTCGAAGAACGGATTTTCTTTTTCCTTTTCAACTTTCAACGCGTGAATCTGTGGCGTTGATGATAGCGAGTGGCATGAGCCGAAGCAATTTTTGCGCATCAGGTTAATTTACCTGAGGTTGCTTTTGGCGAAGATGAATGTGCCATAATGCTAATCTGAGGCCTGTCTCAAAAAGATCCTCGCGACATTCTTCATTATGATTGCCTTCTGCTCTCTTCGCGAGCAATTTTTTTCGTAGAATCGTGAGATTATGCTGAACATTATTTTTTGGTGTGAATAGATTCCTTGGATGACTTCTTTTATTTCTGACCATTTTATGCGACACCAGTTGGCTGATCTTCTGTTAACAGGGTATGATGCCAGAATTTGTCCAGCTAGTATGACTTCGATGCGATCGCCTCTAACTGAACTCGGGAGAGCAATGCCATGTGCTTAATTTTACCTGACTACAAGAAAGATACAACTGTCAACCAAGCATCACCGAAACATAGTCCAGAAGTTTCAACACATCTAGATGCCAAGGCAGCAAATGGTGTTGTCTGGTACAGTTAACCGATGTCTGATTGTTTTTCACACCAATGCTCTTCATTTGACTTGACGGCAGAAAAGGATCATCCGGCGACTAAATATCTCTCAAAGAGATTAATGAAATATTAGTGTGTAAAAAAGGGGGAAAAGTCTTCCATGTGGCATGGTAAATTGATTTCTTATATTTTTGTTTCACAGGGTCACTATCTTATAACGAATTTGGAGCCAAGGAGTAGACCGGGAATAAATCCGAGCAACCTTTCAGGACCCAAAGTGAGACTTTCTGTGGGCGTTTGCCCTCAATTTGATAAGGGCAACAAGCCGATTGTTAAAATATAATTTTTTTAGTTGAGATAATGGTGAATTTGGACAAATACTATCCAAACAAGCAAATTAACTATCCTTAAAACAAAATTGATAAATTATTATTGAAATAATGCATGCCTCTTGTGATTATTTCATAACGCTGCTTATTGGCCATAGTTAGTTCATGTTTTGACTCTAGTTTCTTAAAGCTTTTGTTCTTCATGTAGCTTAGACGTTATCAAATGTTTGAAATCAATGTCAAGTGATAAATGAGGCACTTGATATTGAGATGTGTTCTTAATATTTGTCCTGTATTACATCCTTAATATTGAAATCTAATAGGATATCAGTTTGTAATAATTACAAGACAGTAAAGAACAAGAGAAGAAAGGGAAATAGATATTTAAATATAAGATCTAAGAAATAGAAAATAGAGCTTGGGGTTCATAAGAACCCTTTAACTTGGAGTGGTCATTCGAGAGGCTATGTCCTCAACCTCTCATTCGATCACAACCCTACCACTTTCCTTTAATTGGGAAAATATTTCATAGTCGCTCACTAAGTCTTCATGAATGGAGAGTTATTGGGTCCTTTTGGGCTCTTTTCCTTGTCTAAAGTATGTCAGGCCCACTAGAAGCCTATGATTACTCCCCTCCAACAAAGACACTGTTTTCAAGGTGATGCCACTTTGAGGATGTCACTGACTCCCCAATGGGTTACATTCTAGTAGATCAGCACTTCTATACCCTTAGTGGTGTGACATATCACGAAGATCTTCTAGGGACCAATGGCTTAGTTGAACTTGACATTTAGTATTATATGAAGTTGTAGGTTGTGGTCTTGCATCCAGAGCTTTCTTAAGTTGCAGATATGAAAAATAGGGTGAATTTATATGGTAGATGAGAGTTTTAATTAATAGATGACTATATCGATCTTTTCCATAATTTGATAACGACCAAAGTATGGTGGAACAAGTTTCTCATTTTAATAGCAAGTGAGTGATTGCAGCCACTAGGATTGAGCTTGATATAAATTCATTCTTTGACCATATGATGTACTTCATGGTATATGCCATCAACTTGAGTTTTCTTATGCTTATGTGTTGTTTCAACTATTTTAGAATGACATCACTTTCATGCAAATATTGCTCTCTTCCAATTGCACTCGTTGTTTGGGTGTTAAATTGCACTAATAATGATAGGGTCCTTGTCATATATGATTTTGACATAAATGAATTTAGTAGATGAAAAATATGTTGTACAAACTAATACTAGACCCATGATAGTCACTTGGTTCTCCTTTGAGACTAGTCACTTAAGAAATAATGTAAATAAACTTAAATGCAAGAGTTTATCACTTTCAACTAACCATCTATCTAGGAGTGATACGATGTGGTATGGTTGAATTTCATGTCATGCAATTTGAAAAGCTAAAAAATAAATTAGCTCATAAATATTTGATTTTGGTCAATTATTATAGTGAGAGGTAACCCATGCAAATGAATAATATATTAAATAAATAATATTGCTACCTTAGTTGTGATGTAAGGATGTTTGAGAAGTATGAAGTCACTTAAGAAATAATGTAAATAAACTTAAACATCTATCTAGGAGTGATAGGATGTGGCATGGTTGAATTTCATGTCATGTAATTTGAAAAGCTCAAACAAAAAATAGCTCATAAATATTTAATTTTGGTCAATTATTATAGTGAGAGGTAACTCATGGAAATGAATAATATGTTAAAAAAATAAATTGTTACCTCAATTGTGATCTAAAGATGCTTGAGAGGTATGAAGCTGCATACCTACTAAGTTGATTCACCACCACCATCATAGAGTTATAGGCATGACTTGGACAACACTTCAATGAAGTTTATTGTCAATTCTTCTCATATATATTCAATAATTATAATGGATGTAGATGGTGTTAGAAGAATAAAACTATATGAAATACAAAGAGGGAGGTGAACTAGAGTTTTTGATATTTATGATGTTTTTTCATTTTAATCAAAATCATGTCACTTGATAAGGTCTCTTGACTCTCTCTTACCAAGAACATAATTTTTTTACATTGGTTCTCTCCTCACCCAACTATGTCCAATTCTAGATGAAACTTTCTTTTGATATTCACTATTTCTCTTAAGAAATATAAGATGATGTTTACGGGCTCAACTACCTAACAATTCAAGTTCATCTCCTTGGAGACTCAACCCTTTTATGACTAAAATTGGCAACCAACACCTCATGTCTTCACCCAAATTATTCTCCCTACACTACCCAATTACTTTAGGGCTTAATAGAGAGCAACAATCAGCTAGAGAAGATGATACAATGTTATCATGTAATGATGCTGCTTGATGTTTGATCATGCATTAATCATAGTGCTTAATACATGTAAATTTCAATATTTAAAATTGAACTCTTGAGATGGATTTTAGTATTAATGTTATGTTAAGGTCGACCCTTAGGGATAG